AGAGGCTGACTCGGGTGCAGGGCATTTTGGGGAGATAATGAAAAGCCAGGTTTAGGTGCACTGCTTGAACTCTAGTATTTATGGTGAGCACATCTGCAGGGGTGAGATGCTGCCAGGCCAAAGCTTTATTGCTGGTCTAGCTCTGGCTCCTCAATGTTGTTCTGCCTGCAGAGACTTGTCCTGCTGTCTCTTTTGTACCCCTTCACCCTTGCTTTTCTTTGCTCTGTTTTGCTTTTTTTTACTTTCAGATAAGCAGGGATCCCTCCAGCTTATCTCTCCAGGGAATTGTGCATTCAGACCTTAGTGGCAGTGCCAAGAGGGACACGGAGCTGATCCTTCCTCAGAGCCAGAACTACTGCTGGTCCTGCACAACAGGGTTTGTCCCTTAAATAATAGTAATTACTTTTTAAATCTTCCGGTGTCTTAATCTCTCTTTTTGGTTTCTCATGTTTTGAATGCATAATTGGATAACTTTCAGCGTGGAGAACTACTCACTGATTGTATGTACATGTATCACAACATCTTTTGTGGACCTGCCTCAGACCAAGTTCCCATATCCCAGAGGTTAGTTCCTGTTTTCAGAGTCTGTTTACTTCCTTTGGTGTCACAACTGTAATTTGAAATTTTACACCATTCTGCATTAACAGATTTCAAAGCAATTTCTTGACACTCCTAGAAACAGAAAAATTCCCACCTGCCTCCCCTTTCTCCATCTTGCCTCTTACAAGTTCATTTTTGTTTCTATATACATGTCACAACTCATCTGGCCAATCCAAAGCCCCATTTTCTTTAGAGGAGGGAGAAAAACAACAAAAAATGAATTTGCAGGAGAAAAGACAGAGAAAGGAGGGAAGGCATGTCCTGAGCTGGGAAGAGCTGTCCGTTCAAACAATGTTGTCTCCATGGTGGAAGACACAGGATTCCCAGAATATCCTGGGTCCTGGAGCAAACTGCCCTGACACTGCAGCATCTGCAGAGACACTCCAGCACTCAGGCTTCAAAGGTAGCAGGCATGAAGACAGGATGTGTTCATGCAAAATGGTGCAAAATGGCTACGCCCATGGCAGCTCTCCAGCCCCCGTGTGTTTGGTTTGCTCAGACACCATCTGGAGATGAAAGCTTCCCTATGGGGACAGGTAGGAAGCCCTGGGCTAGTGGGTCCCAGGGCTGGAGCTGGTGGTTTCACACAGCAAAGGGTATACCCAGAGCTCCTGTCCCTGCAGTGCCTCTGCCAGATGCTCTTCCTGCTGGTGAGTGATGGGGCAGTTTCTTGGCTGTGCTAAGTAACGTCAAGGATCTCATCACAGGTCTGAGATGATGGTGTCACTCCATCTGCTGTCCCAGACCATGGCAAGTGTGAAACTTCTGGGTGCTTCTTTAAAGCTGCTGAAATCCCAGCTGGGGGACATGGCATGGTAAGACAGCCTTTCCCTGGGGAGTCAGGTCCCCACCAGGTTAGTCAGCTACAGCTTCTCAGTCACATGGGTGCCAGGAGCTGATTTCAGGGTGGTCTGAAGTGCACGATGGGACAACCTCACTTCTGCAGTAAGTGGGGTTGCCAGCAGGTAGAGCTTGATGGTGTGATGTGGCACTGCCCTGTCCCAGCCCTCAGCTGGCTGGTTTATATCTGCAGCTACAGCTTGTTTTATCAAGGGGGTTTTCTTTGCTAGCAGCACTCCCTGCTATTGCCTCCTGCCTTAGAGCCTTGTCTCTGAAATGAACAACTGGGTAACAGGAGAAAATCCTGGCCAATGCAGCCCATCCATATGTGCCCTGAAGGTAGTGCTGCCTCCCACCACACACAGCCTGTGTGCCTCTGTCTTGTCTACCCTTTGCCCCCACTCTGGCCCCCCTGTGCGTGCTGCTCCATCCGCACAAGCCCCACTGCCACGTCCTCCCACCCCTGCAGCACTTCTCCCTCCACGGGCTGTGCCTGCCCCCGGCACTGCCTCGCAGCTGCCGCCTCACCCAGAAATGTGGGGAAGGCTTCATTCTTGCATGAAGGTCTCAGTATCCAGTGCTCCCCCCCTTTGCCCTGGTTTCCCCCCAGTCCTCCTCCTTCCTGTACTCCCTGTCCTGCTCCAGCTTCCTGCCCTTTGATGTGTCTCCCCTCCTTTGCTCCAGGGTACAAACTGCTTACCAGGTGGAGAAGACTTCTCCCCACCCCACAAATAGGTGCAATTACAAGGTTATGCTTTTTCCCAAGTCCTTGCTCTGGTGAACATTGAACATGGATGGGCTCACGAGCAGAGTCCTGGTCCAGGCTAACAGCAAATGGGACATGGAGCAGGGTCCTGGTCTGTGCAGGCCAGCGATGCCAGTGGAGGTGCTACGGATAGAGTGGCTGCTGAACATGTCCTGGCTTGGTGGCCTAATCAGGGACTCAGCTGGAGAAACCTGAGCCTGCTCTGCTCTGTTCCAGCACAGGAGCAGCTGATTGATACCTGGGTGCTTCCTGCTGCAGTCAGGCAGAGCCTAGAAATGTGCCCCTGGGCTGGGTGCAGCCAGCACTCGTGGAGACAGGTCCCAGCAGCTGGCACTGCAGTCGGCTGTCCACTCTCATGATCTGTACTTCCAGACATGAGGTGCCTCCTGTTGGATGCCCCTTGGCAGGCAACAGCCAAGCAGAGGAGCAGGGCTTCATGCACTTCAGTCCCTGGGCTTCCAAAGGTGCTATGTTGGGCTGGAGGTAGGGTCCCTGTATCTCCTATCGTGACACAGGTTTGCTTTTACTGCTGTTGATGCTGACTGCAAAGGAGCTGATGGCTAGAGCAAGGCCCACCTCCTGTGCTGTCTCTGGGACTCAAGAAGTGTCAACTCCTGGTGGCTCCTGCCCCCTCATTGCCTCCTGCCCATGTCCCAGAGGAATGCACACTCCTGCAACAGGTTTCATAGAGCATGGCTGGGTGAACACCTCACTGCTCCAGTGCAACCTTGTCTACAGGGAGATGGGAGCCAAACTCCAGTGCGTAGCCACCCAGGCTCATCTCTGGCAAAGCCAGCATTGCAGAACAGCTCTTGAGTGCTGGACAGTGCCAAGAGGCCAGAGGTACTAGTTGTTTAGCTTAAACAAGTAAGTTTTAATTAGAATAAGTTACTTAGAACTATACTATTGTGTGATTTATGCTTTTTGCCTAGCTTTACCTCACATGAGTAGCTGGGTTTGCTGATGTCTCAGGCCACAATGGAGTTAATTTTCCTGGTGAATTTTCCTAGTAGCTGGTACAGTGCTGTGGTTTGTATTTTTAGTATGAGAAAAATGATGATAACATACTGATGCTTTGGTTGCTGTTGAGAAATGTTTTTTCTAAGTCTGGGACTTCTCAGTTTCCCATGTTTTGCTGATGAGTACAGGTGCAAAAGATGTCTACACCAGGAGATAAGGAGGCTACAACCCTCAGCAGAGAATGCAAATCAACAAGATAAGTGCAGTCAGTGGTCAGCCTGCCTGGACACAAAAGAAGAATCCAGTAAGGTGTTAAAAGACCTCAGACCAAAAATCACCATTAGTCAAAAAGACACATGAATGAGGGGTGGGTCATGGCTCACAAGGGTAAAATTGGGCAGGGATTTCTCTGTTGAGGGAGGCATGCAGTTTGAGCTGATCCTACTGCTGTACCTTTCAATTAAATTATTTCTTTTATAAGATCCAATGCTTGAGACTCTGCTGCAGGAAACCTATGGTCAGAGCTGAAAATGGATGAAGTGTTCCTGAGAGTCAGTGTGTGTGACACTAGTCAAAGGAGACACCCAACAGCTCACTGGAGTTGCTCACTGTGAAAGGAACTCTGGTCCTGGCCGTTAAAGACTATGAGTAGGTGTGTGTAACTCCTTGAATGGTGTGTAAATGCCCTGGCAGTGACTTCTCCTCTAACAGCCCTGCTTCAGGGCACACCTCAGCATTACTGCCCTGGGAAGGGACAGGACTGAGCTTAGAACACCTCCAGGGATGGGGGATCCACAGCTTCTCAGGGGTCCCAGAGAATTTGTGGATACCCCATGCCTGGAAGCATTTAAGGACAGGTTGAATGGAACTTTAAGCAACCTGGTCTATTGGAAGGTGTCCCTGCCCATGCAGTGGGGCTGGAAGTAGATTATCTTTAAGGTCCCTTCCAACCCAAACCATTCTATGATTCTATAGTGTTTGGCTCTTGGGATAACACTTGAGCAGCTGGGGGCTCAAGAGTGTATGTGGGCAGGTGTGAGTAAGGCAGGAGGTGCAGCGTGTAAAAACACACACAGAGAGAAAGTCTTAACAGAGATTAGATAAAAAGAAAATGTAATTAAACATAGAGAGCATCCTGTCTGTTATTTAACTCTCCTTGCATAACGCATGGGACTGGCTGCCCTCACAGATGGCTGCTCTGCTGTCAGTCATTTGCTGGGCACCTGTTGGGAAAACTGCCAGGTCAGCACAAACCTAATTGCACAGGCATCTTTCTTTCTAATGAGACTTAAAACTCTAGAAGAAAATTTGCTGAAAGGTCTTGCAGCTCCCCAGACATGACTGTGATGCCTTCTGCTCCTTGATGCTCCCCATATAGTCCTGTGAGTGACTGTGATGGGGAATGAGGTCCCCAGGGCTCCAGTGGCCCCTGGGACAGGCTCTGTGTGGGGAGAGGAGGTTGCATGTCCTCCCTGGGATGAGCCAGTGATGGTTGCTGCAGAGCAAGACAGGAGCCACTGCTGTCCCCAGCCCCTCTCAAAGGCTGTGTCCCTTCTCCCCTTCCCCTGCTGTTTGCACCCAGGTTGGAGGCTCTCGTGGGTGGCCAAAGGCAGAGAGCTCTGCAGCTGTGAAGCGATACCCAGACACGTGGGATGCCTTTGTTTGCCTGGGTGAGCAGCCAAGTTGCAGCCCATCTCCAGCTTTGTACCAGCTGCAGATCCAAGGCAGCTGACTAGCCTGACAAAATACCAAAACATGTCAAGGACCAGGGAGTGGCTTGTGCTACTGCTGAATAGTGATGATCCCAGTGCGCTTATAAAACGACGAGGCGGAGAGCTCACCACAGAGCTGTTCCTTGCAGCCCTGCTCCTCTGCAGAGCATCACTCCACCTGTGGGAAACTGTTCATCTCTTCCCCACCTCATCAGCCAAGGTACGTTCCTGAATTAAGAGATTCAAAATGGGAGCTGCATTTGTGTCCGCAGTGGGGTCCATGCCCTGTGGCTGGACACAGACTGGCATTTTCTTTTAAACTTGGGGAAAATGCTATTGCTGCTCCGTGAAGGAGTTTCTGGGCAGGGAAGCAGAGCAGCCCCATGTTGCAGGGTCTGTAAGTTGCCAACCTGTCCCAAGAAGAGCCTGAAGCACATTGGCAACATCCTGGCTACAGGGGCTGCTTGGGGGTGAGCAGCACAGCTCCCACCTCTGGTCTGCTGGAAAATGTTCTTTCCCTCCTTGCAGCACACTTTTGGGGTCAGTTCATGTTTTATTTGGTGCTAATTTGAGTCCTGACCAACTCTCCCACCCTGCAGTGCTGTGTACATCCCAGCACATGAAGACCCCCCCCCAGCAGCAGCTGCATCCCTCCCACCACCTTGCAGGGCCAGACAGCCCTGGCAAACATGGGGTTGTCCCTCTTGCATGCAGGCTCCTGCACAGGTACCCTGCTCACTTCCTTGTCCCAGGGTCCTGGCTCTGGAGCCTGTTCCTGATGCTCCAGCATTTTATAGTAAGTATCTCTGCATTTCCCCTTGCGTCGGCTTTGGACAGATGATGATGCTTCTGCGTGTCCTCTGGCATTTGTCACCCCTGCATCTTGTTCCATGTCAGGTGTGGGTGCTGGGTGCATTGTCTTGCTTTCTACAGCGCTGCTGGGCACATCCAGAGCACAGGCAGGGCTTGAGACTGTTTGAGGCTGGGGACTTACTTGGCACAGTGCCTTTATGCTCTTCTCATTATCCTTTTCCTCTTGCTGTGCCTCCAAAGTGCTCTGCTGCAAACTTCCTGTCCTTTTTGCTGTATTTCACACAAAGTTCTGCTCCAGGGAGGTCCTAGCTCAGCTGTTTTCCTCCTTCCCAGGTCCGTTTCCCACCCGCACCCCGGTGCAGCCATGCTGGGCACAGCAGTGCGGCTCTTGATCCTGCTCAGCTTCCTGGGCTTTGGGAAAGGCCAGATGTTTCACATGGGATCATGCCCAGATCCACCGGTACAAGAAGACTTTGATATCCACAAGGTGTGGAAACCTTTTCTAAACATTTCATGGCGAGTAGTGAGTCAGGCTAAGGAGGCAAGGGAGCCAGGACAAACTCTTGGGGTGCATGGGGGTTTGGCAGGCCTGGTCTCCTTGTGCCAGAGCTGCCCATGTGGGGCTGCAGCCCCAGTCACCTCCCACAGCCTCCCGCACCACGGAGGCAGATGCTTGGATGAACTGAGTAGGAAAAACTCTCCTGGCAAACCAGCCAGGCTGCTCTGCCTCAGCCCTCTCGTGCTAAAAGCATCTCTCTTTCTTCTGTCAGTATTTGGGGATATGGTACGAGATAGAGAAGCTGCCCTCAGGTTTTGAGAAAGGAAGCTGCATCCACGCAAACTACTCGCTGAAGGAGAATGGGAAGTTCAAGGTGATCAACAAGGAGCTACTGTAAGTGTTTGCGTTCAGGCCATGTCCTCGCTGCAGCAGTGGCACTCCTGTCACCTCTCTTGCTGTCCTGGATGGGTGTTTTTCTCCAGATTGCCTGGTTCTGGGTTTGGGGGTGTTGGGGGAGGCACCCTGTGTTTGCAGTGGCTCTGTTGACATAATGGGCTTTGCTGTGGTGACGGCAGAGATGTGAGTCTCTGGTTTCTGCCAGTACTTCCCTGGTGCTCACCAGGTCTGTGTCTCATTGTCCAAAATGAGTAGTAAGAAAATAAATCAAATTCACATGGTGACTCCAGTGTGAAATAGCTTGGTCTCCCACCTGACTGGTTTCTGATCCCCAGTAATGGCTGACAAGCCGTATGTCCTGGGTCCTTCCTGGAGGGGTTACAGGGCTGCTTGTGGACTGGCAGCCACCACCTTATGCCCTGTGCTTCTTTCTGCTCTGAAGTAACGGGACCCAATGAAAAGGGCAGGAAAAGTGAAGAACACTGACTATTTTTACTTAAATATTTTTCAGCCTATTTCTGGAGCTTTTACCTTGCACTGGTAGTAACTGCTGTGTAAGGGGATCAGCAATCATTGCCAGTCTAAATCAAGGAGCAAAGGGGATGCACGGATTGTTCCCTTTATTATACGTGATAGTTTGCGATTATCCCGAGCCTTCCTGGCTTTTTGTGTGGACAGATGTGGATATTAGTTAATCTGTTCCCATCACCAGCCCCGGCTGTTGTGGGGTGCTGCTGTGAGTGGCTGAATGAGTGAGAGGGAGCGACCTCAGCGCCGTCCCCCGCGCTCCCCAGCGCGGCGTGGGGACTTTGTTCTGCCTCACAATAACAACAAGGCAGCAACACATCCCCTGTGTCCAGCAGAGCTGTGTCCATGCCTCTCGCCGACTGGGCAGCACTTGTCTCTGCAGCTCTGCTGCTCAGCAGTGCCTGGGAAACAGCTGGCCTTTTATTTGCACCTGCATTAATCTGCAGGAGATTAATCTGACCATTATTGTCAATGCTGTAGCAGCTCAGGACCCTGAAATGTCAGGAACGTTTCACGTCAGGTGTGCATTGTGCATGGCTCCAGCATCAGCCCCTAGATGTCTGCTGCTGGCAGCATTAGCTTCTGCCTCCTTGGGTGTTCCTGTTTCACAGGCAAGCACGAAACTTTGCTGGCCCGCAGGTAGTGTCCAGGTGTGGAGGCAGGCAAGGAAAAATGCAATTGTAAGACAGGCAGCCAGAGTCGAAGGGCTTGCTGCCAGCAGGGCAGTGCTCTGACCCAGCAGTGAAACAAACCCTGGCTCACCAGGCAGGGACAGGTAATTTGTGTGCAGAGGAATGTGCCGTGACCTGGAAAAAACGCGGGTGATTAAACAGATGTGAACACATGCTTTCCACATCTAGCAGAAGTTGAGTTGCTGGGATCCTCCCATCCTGTGCAGGGGGTCTTGGTCTTACTCTTCTCTTCACTGTACACCCCGCTGGCAGGAGCACTTGGAGGGAGACCCCCTGGGGCAGTTTAACCTGGAGAGCGTTTGTCCTGCTGCTGCTGCCCACGTCCCGGGACCTGGTGTGCTCCGGGGCACTGCTGAGACCGTCCCCAGGGGAGAACTGTTCCTCAGGGATGCTGTGATCAGCCAGTACATGTTTCAGCCACCTGGTGGCAGGTGGATACATCAGAAGGGGTGAAGAAGAAGGGGAAAAAAAGCGATTTCAAACTCACCTGATTTTATTTGTCGACTTTTCGTTCTCCCCTTAGTTCCAGTGGCAAAGTCAATGAAGTCGAAGGAGAAATCATGCACATGGATGTCAAGGAGCCAGCCAAGCTGGGGGTCCGCTTTAACTGGTGTAAGTGTGTGGCTGGAGGCTCGCAGTCCCCAGCCCCCGGGTGCCCGCTGGCCCCAGCAGCACTGGAGGGCAGCACCTGCAGGGAGCTGGCACTGCTGCGTGTCATCAGGGGTGCAAAATTGGCACAGCAAGAGACAAAGCTACCCCAGGGACTTCAGCACAGCTTGATGGGGCAGTGGTAAAGGGCTAGGACAGACATTGTGAGCAGCAGGCAGGGTTTGGTGATGTTCATACATCATCCACAGCAACAGCCCCTACAGCTGCAGAGCATTCTTCAGCAACTAGTGTCAAAGCAAGAAAGATCAGCAGCTTACTGTCCCTCCAGGTCATTTCGCAGGCAGGGACAGGGAGTGGGGAGGCAGGGGAGGCAGCCCCACAGCCACAGCAAGGACCAGGAGTAGGCTTGTTTTTCTGAACACAGCGATATAGCTACTAGCCTGCCCTGTCTCTGCTGACAAGTGCCTTTTAATGACCACTAATAAAGTGGTTTTGTTTGCTTTTTCTTCCCTTGCCAATGTAACATGTGACAGGGACCTGCTGAAGTGCAGTGCATTTTATTCACATTGCAGAGCACCTTCCTCTGTCCACAGCAACACTTGGAAAGGGAACAGGAGTCTCCTCTTGGGTCCCTTTTTCTCCTGCTCCCTCATCTCTTTTCCTTGGCTGTCCCATAGCACTAACACAGATGAGTTATTTGGAGAAATGAGTGGAGCAGGGGTACTTAAGAAGAACTATTTTTGTTCATGAGCACAGTCAGACTAAACTGTGCCCTTTTTTCTTCTAGTCATGCCTTCTGCTCCTTACTGGGTCATCTCCACTGACTATGAAAACTATTCACTGGTTTACTCCTGCACCAACATCCTCTGGCTCTTCCACATGGACTATGCCTGGATTTTATCAAGAGCTCCTGACATGCACCCAGAAACTGTGGAGCACCTGAAGAGTGTTCTCCAGTCCTACAAGATTGACACTGAGAAAATGATGCCCGTGGATCAACTTAACTGCCCTCCTGAGATGTAACTCTTGGCACACAACGAGACAGCACCAGACCAGCAGTGAACTTTGTTGCTTTCTTTATTATCCATTAGAATTTCTCTTTGTAACATAGAAATGTAATATTTCCTTTGCTAACAGTAGTTTGCCAGCCCTGAGTTACTCCTTGCTGTCCTTCCCTCTATTGCTATCCCTTCTTCTTCATCTCGCTCTGACTTTTGCAGAATAATTCACTGATTCAGAGCTAATGTGTGAAGAAAAGAAACTCTGGAGTGCAGATGTGAAGCTCTGCTGTTGCTGTGATTCTTGCAGCATGAGGATAGGAAAGGGTATGAGATGTGATGTGCAAGTATTAGTTCCAAGGGAAAATCTTTTGTCATGTGCCCCAGATTTGCTTCCCATTTTTGTCTTGATGCTCCTGGACCTGTTAGGAGTCTATTGTGTCTGAGGGACACTGCAAGCACTGCCTTCCCAGCAGCAACACCCAGATACAGGGGCTTGGTCCTGAAGCCTCAGAACTAAGGCTTGGGTGTCTGAAATGTTTTCTGGTGCAGGGCTGTAGGTGTATGTTACTGCCAAGTCAGCATACCTTCTTGCTAGAAATCAGATCTGGCCCTTTGTATTTAAAGTCTGAGAAGTCTAAAACTGTCCAGAAATTCATCATTGCTCCATCTGGAGTGTCTGTAAGTGACTTGCCTCAAGTGAGGCTAGTTCTGCACTCCCAAGAAGTCTGCTTTTAGAGTACCTGTAAGCAGATGGAGAGAGATGAGGCTGCTCCCTTGTCTTCTCCTCCCAAGGCTTTTCCCAAACACGGAGATGGCAGGCTCTGCCAGATATCCTGCTCACTGCTTTTGTACGTGCCCAGTGCCCGCTGGCACCGCACCTGCCCCGGCAGGTGCTCCCCAGGTGCCACAACAGCTCTGCTTGAATAGCATTGATGCAACTCATTAAAAATGAAATAAAAATATCTGTTTGGGGGCTTTTGTATCTTCCCAGCTGCAGGCTGGGGAGGGGGTTCAGTGTACAGGGTCTGCCCCTCCTCTAAGGCACTGTGACAACAGGAATGCAATGCAGCGCAACGTGAGTAGCCATGTCTGAAGTGAAATGGTTTGCTCCTGGAGCTTGGAGGTCTTTCCACTGCTCTGGCAGCAGATGCGTGGGCTTTTCCCATCATCTGAGCCATGCCAGCAAACCCATGTTGTAGCTTTGGCTGGCAGTGATCCCATCTCCTGTTGCATTTATTGACATGAAGAAATAATGATGTAGACATAGAATACTGTAAGCAGGCAATGTTCTGCACTAACTGTGGTGGGATCCTGATCAGTGTGTGTGCAGCAAAGCCCTGCCTTGCCCTGCAAGGGGTACAGGAACTGAGCAGGGAGCAGCATTTCACTGATCTTTACCAGTTGGAGACAGCTGAGATAGGAGGGACGCCTTGCAGGGATCAGAAACAACTGCCATGTTTAATCCATTTTCCGTTTAAACTTTAAATACTAACGCCACAGTTCCTGTGACACAAAATCAAACACTCCACCCTCATCCTTAGGCTGTAAGGATGACAGAGGACATGCCAGGACGCTGACAGCTGCACGGTGGCTCCCAGATGTGTTAGATTTTTTGGCTAGATAATTTAATCACTGCTTCGTCAGATCCCTGTTTGCTTCCTCAAATGGATGATGATGCTGTAGCCCAGGTTCCCTTGCAGCTGTGCTGCCAGCCCTTTGTGGGGTGGCTCTGCAGGCACTGAGCCCCTGGAGTGGGAACCTGCAGCTCTACAGGAGAGCTGCCCATCATCCCTGGGTCTGGCTGGCAACTGGCATCTGCAGACCCTGCTGAGAGACAGGAGTGTTTTATTCAATGGCACAAACACACAATCTCTGAGCCCTCTGGACACTGTGCTGCCCCTTTTCTTGTGTCATGGTGACCCTGTGACAAGCCCAGGTCGTTCTGCCAAACACGCTGGGCACGGTACCTCACGTCGCTGTGTGGAGGGGCTTTGTGGGCATCTCGTGAGGGGCTGCACGGAGCAGCAGCTGCTTTCCCTGCAAGATGGGCCATGAAGATGATTTGAGGGCTGTAGCACCTCTCCTGTGAAGACAGGCTGAACGGGCTGGGGCTGTTCAGCGGGAGGAGGCTCCAGGGAGACCTCATAGCAGCCTTCCAGTACCCGAGGGGGCTACAGGAAAGCTGGGGAGGGACTTCTTACGAAGCCATGTAGTGACAGGACAAGGGGAAACGGTTTCAAAAACTGAGAGGGGGCAGCTTTGGGTTAAGACATTCTGAATTTAGCGTGAGGGGGCTGAGACACTGGCCCAGGTTGCCCAGCGCAGCTGCGGATGCCCCGTCCCTGGCAGCGCTGAAGGGCGGGTCGGACGGGGCCCCCCGGGGGGTCCCTC